ATGGTCCTGAGAACCCTGACATACTACTGTCAAAAATATATTAAAATAATCTTTATTTGCATTAACTACTTACTATTTTTGCTTGTTTTATTAATAGGATAATTTTAAGTCCTTTTTTATTTTAAAGAGGGTAAAATTAAACACAACAAAACAGAACAAAATAGATCATAAGATAACAATGTAAGAAACACAGATTTCAAAGCAAGATAACAGGAGATCTTCACTGTCTTATCATATTGTCTCTTGTTTTCTTCCAAATAGTTGTCCATCTTCACATTCAGTGAATTCATACAAAACAACATAGTATAGAACTGATCTGAACAGGATGAGGAAGGCATTTTAGGTGTTTAAGACCAGACAATAAGAAAGTCAACAATGGCTGTCATAGAGTCTCTCATTCTCTTCAAAATAGCTGTCCATACCTTCATGTATGTTGAAATTATATAAAACAAAACAGGCTAAAATCACTCAGAGCAAAGAATAGTAGTATTGCTGGATTTCACATCATGATGCTACAGAATCAGCACTGGATACTGTAGTGTCTCTTTTTCTTCAAAGAAGTTCATTTCATCATGCGTTATATGATCAGTTCTCATAAACTGTTTATAGGTTCTATGCATGCATAAGTCTCTACATGTATTTCTATCCTTTCTGTATTAGGGGGAAAAACAAAACAAAGCAAGACAAAATAAAACATTCCTATAAAAACATCAAACGAAAAAGTTATGTAAAACTACAGTACAAGGTAATCTACAATGGTTACTGTGTTGTCTCTTGTTATCTTCAATAGAATTGTCCATATCATCAGGCATAGTATAATTGAATATAGCAGTATATAACATAATAAAAACAAGACATTGTAAACAATGTAAAACTTCAAAAGTAGGTAATAATCAAACCAGAATGGGTATCCTAGTGAATCTTGTCATCTTCAGTGTAGTTGCCTATACTCTCAGATTTGATACTATCAGTCATAACAGATTTGAATAAAATCTGTTGATACCAAACAGCAATCTAACAAACCAGATTCAACTAAGATCAGTCATCGTAAAACAGTATAAGTTATACAGGGCTTCAGATTAATTAATAGGAAATTAAGGATAATTACCATACTATATCCTGCTACTTTTGGGGTATCTGTCTGTGCCCTCAAATCTAGTACAACTAGACAAACTGGAACAGGATATAATCTTATCTAAACAGAGCAGTGTGAGCAGCGTGGGTTTTAAATCCTGATACACTGTTAACAACATCCTCTGCCTTCTTTTTTAAGACTATTCCCCCCTTTCACTTCCACAGGGTGCTGCATATTTTGGGTCCCATCAACTCCCTCAGGTTTTAGATTGGGGGGCAACCTGCTATTTACCTAAGTGGTTCCAAACCTTCTCCTGGACTTGATCTCAAGTTGTATTTCTTTATCTACAAAAGCCTCAAGGTTTTCCTTCGTTATAGCTAAGTAGTTCTCTACTGCACATAAGTATCCTGTCTTTCCAACCTATCTGCACATGCTGGTTGAGTTGCTATTTCTCTCTGGTTCCCTGTCACATAGAGCATTGCTTGCTCATATTTAATTTTAGTCCATAAACCCTTTTTCAGGTTAATTATGTTTCCTATACAGAGCATTTCAGTGGACCCTACCTCCTGATCTACTCTGCCTGTGTTTCTTTCTTTCTTTTTTTTTTTAGTGTATCAAGGCCATCTGTGTTAGAGATTACAGCCAGCCTTTTCTACCTCATTTCTACCATGCCATTTTTCTGCCTTTGGTTGAAAAGGAAGGTTTCTGAGGTACAGAGCCACCTTTATCTCATTACACCACATCACATCAAGGGTTCATGCCATCAACATAGTTCACGGCTGATGTCATCAGATTTGGTCACCTGGCTGAATTAACATTGGTCACGTCTTCTCACGACAGGGCTGCTCATTGCCCCCTCTTCCTTTCCTACAGTGCTCTTCGTAAGGAAATGACTATGTTCAGTTTGTACTTAAAGAGTAAGAAATTTTGTCAAAAGATTTTCATAGTTTTATCCCTTAAAACAAATTTAGGAGAAAGTCAGGATGGCAGAGTTAGAATTATTTCGCATCCTCTTTCCTGTTTCATAGGAAGATTCAGTGACTTACGTATAATCATCACAGTCAAGTGGAAAACCATATTGGAAACTATTTACACACCAAGCACTCATCTCCAATATGCACAAGTTCCTGCTAACCTCAACCATGATTCTTTATTTTTATATCTCTTTATAGTCAGCCCATTGCTTAGTTTTTATAGCTTTCCCTCTGGTGTAATTTAGAAACTTTATCTTCTGATGCAGATCTTTTCCATTTCTTTATTCTTAGTCTTCATTTACTGAGGCACTTAATTTTTATTACAACTAGTTTTTGAAAGTCTGATATCATTGACATTTCTAAAAATAGCAGATTACTGGTATCTTTGCATACCCACAAAGATCCTGCACCTATCCATTTCCTTCCATGCATTTGAATGCATTAAGAGCTTTCCAACAAATCAATACTCACAACTTTCTAGTTTATATCTCTATCTCCATCTTTGATGATACTATTCCTTCAAATATCATACTTAGATGACTATTAACATTTTTTCTCAAAGAGAGGAATTTGTTTTCTCTTGCCAAATCACTTTTGAGAGAGGGAGAATTGGAGATAAGATAAAATTAGAATAAATACAAGAGTTTTTTTTTAGAAGACTTGGCTCATCAGCTAACAAACTTCTTGTCAGTTAACAAGTGAATTTTGTTATCTCTGCTTCAAAATAGTATCATTTTTCTGGTTTAAAGAGAAAGCAAAAAAGTATTTGAATTCAGGAATCTATTCTTATACTTCACAGGAAAGCCAGCCTTCTTGAATACTACTGATGTTGCCATGAAGTTATGATTTTGAGACTCTGATGAGAACATGGAGCTCTTGTAAACATCATTTTGATGGCTTAGTGCAAAGTGCTAACAAGACTTCCATGTGCTTGTAACGGTCTCCTTTTTTGGTGATGACTTCCATGGTCATCATGGAAGGTTGTTCATTGTGAGTGTGTTCTATGAGCCTGTGTGTGTGTGCACACCTATGCGAGGTGCTTCAGAGGGAGCAAAGATTAGTCTCTCCAGTTTAACAATATTTTAGTAAGGGAAACTATATGGATTAATGTCAGTGAATCTCGGGAAAACTATGATCTATTCTTGTCTTCCCTGTACTTTTGTGTGAGTCACTTTGACTTGAAAGTCATTTCATTTTCACTCTGCTATTTCAAGAAAAGAACATAGGGCTGGGTTTTCTCATTCACCATTTTCACGACATGAATACTTGGTTTATGTCTGTATAACTCAACAAAAATAAAACAACATTTTTCATCAAATTGTGCAGTAAGTGAAATTCTCACAATTGCCTTAGAAAGACACTATTTTAGTTTGTCTTGTAGTCAGAAGAAAAAATTAGAAAATTGAATGGGCCCAACTTTGCTCCTAAACTCTAGGTGAGAAGTCCTGGGTTGAATCTTAAAAGTTCTTAAAATATAAGTCAGATATTAAAAATCCTAATTGTCATTTAACCACTCAATTGATCACAATGCATGCATTTTTAGAGTAGACCATACCAGATATTTAATCAAAATGCAATTGTAACAGGCTTCACATGGACAGAACTCTTCAGTTTTGTGTATTCATAGCTGTCTGATGATGAGGCAGACACTTGTTAATGATTCCATCAAACAATTGTTATTGGTGTCATAATGAAATAGCTTTCATCTGTCCTTATACGAAGATGACAAAATTTCTTACATATTTATTGTTAGTTTTTAAAATGTAACAATCTAGATATTAAAATATACAATAGTTCTGTATACTGTTCATTCCAGCTGCTTGACCATTTTGGTCAAGCATGGTTGGATTTATGTACAAATTTTAGTATATGTAGCTATACACATGTATGTGTATAGCTGCATAAAGAAATCCACAGTGTTTTGCAAAGTATAGGAGTAATCATGCTTATTGTGAAAAGGGTAACATTTATACAAATAAAAATAAGACAGAAATGTGTTATTCAGTCACTCAGAAATAACCACAGGTAGCATATAGGTAACTTCCTATGAATGTATATGCATGTCTCCATTAATATTTGTCTATGTTTTAGAAAATACAAATATCATGCATATAATTAATGTTTTCTACCTATGTAGTATTAAGTGTTTATACAGTATAGTTTATATAGTTGTCTTGTAGCAAATACTCACTGGTGAACTTATTTAGTTTTGGATTATAGGATTAGTTATTTAGTTTTGGGACTACTGTAAGGATCAGGAAAGGGTAACTGGGTTAAGAAGGAAGAAGTAAAATCTGCACAAAGCTGGTGAGGAGGAAGGAAACCAGCCAGCCCTGGGCACTCTTGCTCTGTGGTTGGGATGCATGTGAGCCTCGCTTCCTCCACGCCCCTTCCTCACAGCCCTGGAGACAGACTGTGGAAGGTACCTGAACGCTGTAATAAGAAGTGCATGACAGAGTAATTGGTTCCCTCCAAGGACACACAGAGGGCAGGGTGCTGGCTTCTTCAGTTCTGTGGTGACAAGGCTCAGGAGAGCAGATTTGCTCTGGTTAGTGACGACCTTGAAGGATCTGATTGACATTATAATCCACATACAGTGGCGGCAGCAGCAAAGTCTATGAGGGAAGGAGGTTGCTTACAGCTTGACTCTGTGAGGTTGTTGACACCAGCCACAGTTCCAGGAGTCTTTTCCCTGATTGCTGGAAGGTGGGAAATCTGGGATGCCAAGAAGCAGCCCTTCCCCGCCTGTTGTTAGACCTACAAGGAGAATGTTCTCTCAGGAGGAGGAAACCACTCATCCTGTCACCCTCTCCTCAGCTCAAAGCCGCTCTGGCTATGTCATTTTAAAACAATTATTCAATTATTTTTATACATATCCTTGAAAATATTCATATGTATATTACATATACCAGTATCAAATTTCTAATAAATTGTACCTACTTCTTTTTCAGAAATAGATGAAAAGAGGGCAACCAACACACAAGGAGAAGTAAGTTTTCTTCTATTTTGTTTAAATATGTTCAAATCAAAGACAATCTCCTTGATTTAATGTGATATAAAACATGATCTGAACACAATCGATATAAAAGCTTTTAGGTTACTTTTCCTGACTAAATAGTAAATGGGGTCTTTGAAATCTCTCAGTTTCCTTGATTGTCTGACTCTATGAAATGCTGAGCTCTGAAAAAATAGCCAAAATGAAGCATTGGTTGTAGTGGCAAGATATGGCATCAATAGCTGACTAAATAGTGTATTTGACCACTGCAGGTAGGGCCCGGCAATGTTGGAATCCCGGTGCAAAGATAGGAGAGTACTGACACTCACCCCTTAAAGGTTTTATTGTGTGTTGAGCCAAAGCAAATTCCCAAACCAGAGTCTGAGAAGAGTGAAGTCCTCTAAAGCCTGGCCACCCAGAACTAATGAGTTCACCAAGAAATGTACTCAGACATGCATTCAGTCATCTTTTACCCTCTGTATTCTCGTGGGAGATCAGGAAGAAAACGAGAATCAAGAGACAGTGGGGGAGCTAATAATGTAGGTTACAGAAAATGCAAAGCTGGGAGAAAAAAACTTGTGCTCAGAAATGAAGCAAGTATTGGCTAGGATTGAAGGACTGAATCCCAAGAGCACATGAATAGTCATGTGGCAACACCCAAAGAGAAAAATGTAGAAAGGAAGAATATCAAATTTTATCTCACAAAACTTTTAAAAGCATTTAGTGAGGTGTAAATACAAAATTCCCTTCAAAACTAAGTTTTTATATAAATATAATTTCATCACCAAAGCTTAATATTATGTTACTAAACAATGAAAAAGCACTTTTCTATAATTAATTTGATACTTGAGCTTCGACTATGTGCTTGGAAGATATATAAGAAACCCCAGAGGTGATTGCTTCTTAAAATCAACAGGGCATGACTGGAACAATACAAGTACCCAGAAATGCCAATCATTCATGCAGTTAGCGTTCACCCTGCTGCACCTGTGAGTAACAGCCCAAAGCACTCTAATCCACAGAAATTTGTTTGCACGCTTGCTCAGGTGATAGGCATTTGGCAACTGGGTGAACATTTACTTTTGAATAGATTTCATAAATATCAACGTCTTGATAAAGTCCTTGAGCTTTTGTTTGTACAAAGAAAAATGTCTTGGCTCTATTTATAACTTTATGACACAGTTTATAGTTTCTTTCATATTTTTATATTGTGTTTTTTCTAATATGCATGGAAATCATGGAACGATCTTCCCAGAAGTGTCTTTTCAAAGCAAAGTAATTATTCTCACTAAAACTCATTAAGAAACCCTCCCTTTGCCACTTAAAAATATAAATCAATATGTTAAAAAGCAGTTTTTGAGGCAAAATCTGATATACATATATATTTAGAATAAATAGTTATATATATATATATATATATATATATATATTTCCATAACATTATGGAATGGTGGGTTTTGACTCCGAAATATGTTCCTATTTTATCATTTTTAAGTGGAAAATACTTTCTTCACTAACTTAATCCTGATCCAGTTGCTAAGGTTACAGTGTTACATAGCAGTTTCATTAAGAAAGGATTTTTGAACAAATAAAAGAATATTGTAGTTCCAAGTAAACAGAGACATTAGACTTAACATATCACCTCAAGAGGGTTGTAAATTGTTGTTAGTTACCAAGGTTCTCCTGATCCGCCTGAACCTGATTAATTCTGTGGACAGATATTATTACCCACAGGCACAGCTGTTGGAGTATACTTTGTCTCAGAACTTATATTTTCTCTCAAATGGACGAGACTGATGCTTTTTGTTCTCTTTTAAAAATAATGTTACTACATGAGCTAGTAAGAGGAGTAATTTTAACACTTCAGTGGAAGAACACTATGATAAAATAGCGTTTATACCTTTACTGTCTCTCCAGCCCGTGTGTCACAGAACATGTGTGTTACCTCTCATTTATTACAGTTCTCTTTCTTGATGGGACATCAGAAAGTCTCTGAAATAGAGTGCAGGGTTCCTTTCCCCCTTCAGTCTGATGGCAGCATAGCTTTTATCTGCATCTTACACTTTTGTGCCTTTCTCTCTGTCCGTAGCCACAGAACGCATCCCCCAAGCAGAGGAAGCAGAGTGTGTACACACCGCCCGCCATGAAAGGTAGGTCCTGGTCAAGCAGAGTCCTGGGTACTGAGCAGACTGGCTGTGCTGGAGGAGCATCCACTAAAACACAAGTGAAAGCTCGTCTCATCATACAATTTACCAGGGTGACATTCAGGAAGATATTTTCTACTTAAAACTTAATTTCATCAGGAATAGAAGCCTCAGAAACAATCTAGGAATTCAGCTTTCAAACTAATGGTAAAAGATTTTTCTTTTCCTTGACCTGACATATCTTCTTTGAAGTAACTTTTCCATAATCTCTACTTACTCTCACCAGTGTTAGCAAATGGTTATTACTTTTTTCTTGCTTCAGGCAAAGCAGAATAAGTTGAATCAGGGGGATATTTGGTGCTCAGTGTGGCTTCCTTGCTGCCTACCACAAGGGGTGCTAAGAAACAAGCAAACAGATATTTGTTCTACCTTTAATAGCTATTGTGGTAACAACCAATATGCTAGCTCAGATTGGGGAATTTTTCCAAAATTTTTCTTCAAAATTGAGCCTGCTGAAATAACACTAAGTATATCAGTATTTTGATGAACATCAGTTCCAGGGAAGGCTTCTTTGATTTCTCAACAAAAACATCCCTGAGAGGAGGCAGAGTCTGTTTGGTCCAGTAGCTGGTGTTCTAGTCTTGTCCATGGGCTGTGAGTTGAGGGACTCATCCTGCTGTGATCCAGCTCCATGTATGCTGCAGGAGAGGTCCATAGAGCAGCTTCCTCTGAGGCTGCAGAAATATCTAAATTGGGAGTGAAACTTTCCACTCTGTAGTCTCGCTAGATTTGGAGACTTTTCAGGGAGGTGGGACATAAATGGACATGTTAATAGCTACTTTTAGTAAACTTCCTTCCTGCACAGCTAACAACACCATGTCTGCTTGTTGTAAGACTGTGGTAAATAATGCAGTCGTCAACACTGAAGTTTACTCCCAGGCTGCTATTGAGATTACTTGGCATCCTTCCGTGAGGCTCAGTGTAATCAGTTTAAAGATATTTTTCCATGTTAATTGATTTTACATTTCCAAGACATCAATTTTGACATCCAAGGGCAATGATGAAAGATATATGTTCACTCATTTAATTATTTCTTTTGTTCTATTTTGGGTTGGCTTACGATAAATTAAGCAATACTGTTCTTGTATCCTCAGAGAATAATAGTATTATTTTTAAAGGAAAATCTTAAACTCAAACCCCTAAGGGCTCATTATTTTTAGCTTTCAAATATCCTGAGAATGTGGATCCTAATGTTTAGAGAAGTTAGATCTAGTGCACACTTTTTAGATATTCTTCTAAAATTGAGTCCCCTAAGATTACCCCTCAATGATTACCCACAATGACAACCATCTGTGGTCATGAGCACAGTAAGACTTTCCAGAAACATCAGGGTGTTAATATCCATCTTTTAGTTTGTCATTTATAACCAGGAAATATCTTTGCAACTCTCCAATTTATGACAAAAGAAAAGAGAAAGACAAATCCACATGTTTTATTCAGTGTATCTGTCCCTATGAGCTAAAAAATGAATATTTCAAGGCAAAATTAAGCTGTGGTAACATATGGTACATTGCAAGCACATTAAGAAGATTCAATCATAGAAAACATAACTGAACAAAGAAAATGTTATTAAGATGCCAAATACAGTAATACAATTGCTCTAAGATGTATAATTCTTCAGATTTCAATGGAACATGCAATTATTGAGAGTAAAAATGTTTCATGGGAGAGCAGATTATCAACAGATGTGATTAACAGTTCTGACAAAATTTGCTGTAACAGAAAGTCAACTAGGATTTTATGAAGGATTCAGAGAGGAACTGATTAGTAAAACAAAACAAATTAGGCAGACTCCTTTCTCTCTTATGCAGTTGTGAGAAGTTACAGAGTTTCAGGAGAGGTACATTATACTTACACCATTTCACCTTAATCTATGGACAACTGTCACGTTTCACAAGCTCATTAAGGTTTTCCCATGGAATTCTGTCCCTATGAATATTCTCACCATGTAGAACAATCTCTGTCACAGGTACTCAGTATATGCTTGTTGAATAACTGAACTATAATTAATTGGGGAATCTGGTTATTTTGTCATCTACTCAAAAAGTATCACTGGAGCTTCATCATACTGTCATACTTGTGACTCTACTTCTGTTTTCTTTTTCTCCTTCCTGTTCCTTCTTATTTGAATGCTCCCATTTTTATACATTTCATTTCTCCCCACCCTTTTCCCCTTGGTCAAAGAGAAAACCTGATTTGGTGGATTAGTTACTGCTATGTCTCAGATGAGTGTTCCCCAAGGGCCCATCCATGTACCCCATGCCTGGTTCCTGCTAGTGATACTATTGGGAGATGGTGGAACCTTTAAGAGGTGGAGCTTTGGGGAGATATCCTTGAAGGAGATTGTGGCCCCCAGGCCCTTTTCTCTGTGTCTGTCACTCTGCCCGTGATGTGAGCAGTTGCCCTCTATCACATACTGACACCACAATGTGTAGCATCACCATGGACCCAACAAATCGTGATCTAAACCGTGATCCAAAATAAATGTTTTTTCTTACTAAGTTAGCTGTATCAAATATTTTGTTATATTGATAGAAAGATGAATAACATGGTTGCCACCTAGGATTGTGCATCAGTTGGGCTGAGTTCTTGGGAAAGCTCACCTCCTGAAAGGTCCAAGGCTCTCTAGTGATCTTTCCCTCCCTCTCAGTCTCTCTCACATTTGAGCACCAGGACTTGTGGATTGAGCCCCCTGAGAATGTCTGTCACACACCCTTTTCTCTCACCTCCAAAGTCACCACCATATTCAAGTTACACTTCTCTCGGCCAGTCTTTCTCCTCTTCCTTCCATCTGTTTCCAGCATTATAGCCATTGTGAATCTTCTACCCAAAAGTGGTTGTGCCAAGCTTCCGTTGGCTCCCCATTGCCTTTACTGAAGATTCCTGTTCCAAAGCAGGGTTTCCAAAGCTGCGTGGCTATTGTTCCAATCTGCTGCTTGTTGTCTCATTCCCTAGCGTCAAACGTGACTGAGATGAAGCTGTCATGAGGTCAGCATCCATCCATCCATTCTTTTCCACCCATCCACCTATCTACCTGTGCAACAGAGAACCTCCTGGGGTACCCTGATAAATGTGATAAACATTGATAAATGTGAACAAATGCCACACTGGTATTTCCTCAGCTTGTCAATGCACTAAGCCCTTCTGGATTCAAGAAAACAAGGAAGCATGCTTTCTTTGGCCTGGAGTGTTTTCTCTTCTTTCTTTCTTTTTGTCGTTCTTCATCTGACCAGCTCCTACACGATTAAGCCCTGCCTTTAATCGTGAATCTCTGAAAAGTATCTTTCTTAACACTTTGTATTAAACACTCTACATTTAATAAACTCATTATTGACTGTCTCTAGACTTATAAATTCTCCATGGTTTTTCCATCACAGGTACCACCATGCCCAATTATTTGTTTAGCATTTTCTCTCTCCAGCTAGCTCAAAAGTGACCTATATGGCAGTAGCAACTATATCTACGTTGTTTATCCACGTATGTTCAGGGTTTAACATAATGGTTGGAACATAGGCAGTGCTTATAAATTTATTGTTAAAAAATTAAATGCATATATCCAGTCACTTTTGGTGAAAGACTATTGGCCCAAGCTTCTGTTTTAGACAGTCTGACTGTTACAGAGAGCTTTCTCAGTTGAAGTCCTTAGCAATGGGTAGTCATAGATTTTTGTTCTACAACTTGTTAATATTTGTGGTGCATTTAAAAATGACAGCTATTGAAATATTTCAAGACATATATCAGGTTCTTGTCTTACCCTGATGTCAGTTATCCCAGCTATTTAGTTTTTCATTTATTCTTAATCTCCTAGTAAGTTGAATTGTGTCCATATTATTCTAGAAGTACAACTTCTAAAGTCAACCTAATATTCAAAGTGTGAGCTGGCCAGAACAGAATGGAGACTTCAATTATGTTTGACATTTATATTTTATTTCACAAAACTTAATTCTATATATGCAACACCAAGTATTATTTGCTTTTTCTGGAAGCTATGCACATTATTGACAAATAGTGAGTTGACCATAAACTCACTTTTGAATCCTTATACATACACTGTTTTCCATATTTACCTCTCATTCCACCTTCTAAGCTTAAGCTTGTCTTTTCTGGGTGAAAACCAAGTCAGCACTGTCATCCCAATTGGATCTTCTATTGTTAGAGTCAGCTGTTAAATCAGCATGTCATATTTTGTATCCTGATTCTATCATCCATTCTGTTTCCAATTGTCTTAGCAGGGTGTGATCCACAGATATGACAGACTTACTTTTGCTGTTTTTATACAAGGGTGTAATAAAAATATCAAGCAGAGGAGGGCCAGGAGCAAGCCCTGCAGTACATGTAACTCTCTCTAGTTGATATTGATCCCCCGAAAGTCATCATCCCTAACCAGCTACAAATAGACTATATCAGGAGCCTTTCCTTTCAAACCAGAGTTCCCCATAGAACTCCATGCATTTTAAAAATGTATATTATGCATAAAAATAACAAAAGTTGAAGTGTGCATGCAAAACAGACTTACTTTTTTAAAATCACGTTGTATAGTACACTGCTTTATGATTACTAAGTAGAAAGTTCTAAAGTTTGCCGGAAAAATGACAGCTCGTGATGAATGCCCTGGTGTGTGCCTCTGCTGTTGGTTTACAGGATGGTGAGCTCTCTGTCATTTAAACTGTTGTTGGATCGTTTGAATCATGTTTTCAGAAAAGCAGAGTGGATTTGAATCTTGGGATCGGAAACGGCTGACTCATTTCCATCCCCACTGTGCGTGCGTATTTGCGCATGCGCAAGTTTTACTGGAATTCGATTACCTTCTACTGAAGGCAGCAAAGTAAGTGCTATCGATTTAAATGAAATCTGAACATTAAACAAAGCAGCTGACTGAAAATTGGCTTCGTATAGCAGAGCCTGTAAGTATTACGTTGCCATTTTTAATGCACAGCAGGTCAGAT